CTATCAGGCCCGGCCTCCTAAAGGTTCTGCCACAGGCTGGTGACATGGGTGGGCCTTTAAGACATGGGCCTTTGGGGACTGTTGCAGATCTAAACTATAGCAATGGCTGTATACAAAAGCCACTTGATTGTTATGCTTACAATGCACTGTTATTCTAAAGAGAGGAAGGAAAAAAAGGTTTTTGAATTTGCCTAGAATTTCCTATCAGACCATATTAGCCAAACTTCTAATTTTAACTAAAATGCCTCCCTTTGGACCCGTAAATGTTTTATTATTCATAACCATTTGGGACCTCATAGTTAACAAATATGTATAGCTTATATTATTTTTCACTTAAAATAGTAATTACTTGATATCTCTTTATAGTAGAACTCACAACACCATAAAGTGTATTTCAAGCACGGCCACCTGTATTTCTGTAAGTTAAGTAGACAAGAGGGAGATGCAGAGGTTCTAGAACTGAGGTCCTAGTACAACTTACTAATCAGTTTTGATAAAGTTTAGTATCGAGAGGCATATTTTCCTCTTCCCTCCAAGTGATTATTAGAACTTACCAAAATATCATGAATTGTTCACTGAGGGGAAAAGGCCTTCTTAAATATAAATAGCAACATTATCAAACATTGCTGAATACATTACGTATCTTTCCATTTGCTAGCTGTTTGTACCAAGTTAGCATTCTTGGTGCAAACAACACAAACCAACTTTAACTGTGCTGAAGAAGATGTTATTGGGAGAATGTTAGCTGTCAGACAGAACCGATAGGAAGACTGAACAACCCAGCTCAGAGTGTGGGTAAGCTCTTACCCCAGGGGCAAGAACTTCCCTCCCATTCATAGAGAGTTTGATTGGGGCGCACTGCTGGATTTGGCCTTACTGTGCCAGAACATGTGATGTTGTCACTGTGCACTCCCACCAGTTTTGTGAATGCCACTGAGTGAGTTCCAGACCCTTTTCCTGGTTCTTTTGTTAGTCTTTTCAGAGGGAAGCTAGGTCATCCACTTGCCTGAACTGAATGAAAATCTTCCTCCAGCCCCTATGGTGAGAAGCCCCATCCCTAACAATCTAAGGCCAAAAAACAGAGCAAATGCTTGGTTGCTAGGGATCCCCAATTGATTGACAGTTTATAAAGGTGCAAAAAGATGTGGAATTATTTAATTGCTATATTAAAATGAGAGTGGTTGATGTTTTAAGCATATTTTCTGAGAACCAATGAATAAGAAAAAAAGCAAGTATATTTTCTTTGTAAGAAAAATTGAAGAACTGATGGATTTTGGTAGGTGGCTATGGGAGAAAAGAAGAATGGCACTCAGTTTTCTGGTGGGGGTTAATAGATAAGCTGTTTTTTGAAATGGGGCCACATTAAGAAGTACCACAGGTGTGTGATCATAAGTTTGGGCATAAGGAAATGATCTCCATTCTGAAAATGTTCTATTCCATGTGTCTGTGAGACATGCAAGAGATGAAACATGTATAATGAGCAGGTGAAGATTTGGATATACGGTTTTTAAGCTAGACTAAAAATAGAGAATTATGAGCCCAACATTATCAATAGGAATTCAATCCCCAGCATCAAATTTGATTGTGCAGGGAGATCTGCACAAAAGAGCAGGATTTAACACATCATGACTGTTCAAGAGATAGGCAAAGGTAGAGGAGTACATAAAGTTTGCTGAGAAAGTTTGACCCAAGTTATGAGAGGAAATGCAAGGTAATGTTTATCTTCTCTGTCTGACTTCATAAATTACATGTTCTTTCTAGGACAGTAGTTTTTCAAAGATAAGTATGTATCAGAATCATGTAGGAGGCCTGGCATGGTGATTTAAGCCTGTAATTCTAGCTACTTCAGAGGTAGAGATTAGGAGGATCACAGTTTGAGGCCAGCCCTGACAAAATGTCCAAAAGACCCCATTTTAGCCAATGACTGAGCACAGTGATTCATGCAGGTCATCCTAGGTTTGCACAAATAGGAGGTTTGCAGTTCAGGCTGGTCCAGACATAAAGTGAGACCCTATCTCAAAAATAACACAGCTCTGCCCCAAGATGTACAATCCCTTTCCAGACTTAAGCTGGGCCTTGAGTCTGCACCTGCATATTCCTATGACTTCTCAGAGTCCTATGGACAATACTGAGGAGACAAACCATGCAGGAAACATTCCTGTAAAGAAAAAAAAAACCAAAACAAAAAATAATAACACAAAGAGGGCTGGTGGAGTGGCTCAAGTGGTAGAGCACCTGCCTACCAAGTGCATGGCCCCAAGTTCAACTCCCAGCACTGCCAAAGAGTGGGTAAAAGTCACCTGCTAAAAATTTGATTTCCTGGATCTTCCCCCAAAAGATTACTGTATAGCAAGTGCACAATTATTTCTGCATTTTTAGCAGATATCCAGAATAGATGACTCTTGAAATACACTTTGAGAAATACCCTTCAAAGAAACAGTATGAAATTGTTGAAAAAGCAAGGCTTTCCAATCATACTTACTCAAGGGTCCTGTCTTTTTACTCCTTGCTGTTTGTGTGACTGTGAGTAAGTTGGTTAATTTAAGGTTTGTTTTTCCATCATTTTTGGGGATATAATATAATCTTTCACTTAGAATTATTACAAATATATATAAGCTATACTGTATTAAGTTCCTGACATATAGAAGGAGCTCAGTAAATATGCGTTGTCTTTTGGCAGTTTAAAAAAATAAAAAACCCCTAGAATACAGCAGTAAATGTAAAAGCCAGTGAAAAAGTAGATGGAACGAGCTGTCATTAGCCTAATGTATTGTGTTTTGTAGGAGCTCAGAGCCAACTGCTTTTTACCTTGAACACACTGAATTAGAATTGTGTGAAATTAAGTTACTGACTTAATGGATTTCATTATCTAGTTCTCCTGGCAGCCCTCAGTTCTGTAGACATTAAACTAGAGCAGCAGGATGGAGACAAGGTTAAAGTGTGAAATAGAAACTGAGGGAAATTTAATAGAAAGACAAACACCTCAAAAATCCTGAGGGCATCAGTGTGTTATAACATAATACAAAGACTAATACTCAAAACTGCTAGATTGTCAAGAAAATGTTAAATTATGTTTAAAAGACATTGTGAAGTTAGGAATATGTCTTAGAAAAATTTCCATCACAGTGACTGATATATTTTTTTAAAGTTTTGGTACTTAAAGGAACAAGCTATCGTTATATATGAAGTTCTCATAGATAATAATATTTTATTAGTTTTTCACAGTTCTGGGTTGCATGACCTCTTTCCTTGATTGGCATTTTACTGTTTTTAACAATCTGTGTCAAGTCAATGGGTGTTCTTGAAACTATCCCAAAAAGCACTATGGAACTAACTTTCATATAAATTATAATGAATAACTAAATAATGCTGATGTTTTCTCTGTCCAAATGAGAAGCTGATGTAAGTGGAGAAAGTTTTATTGTAGTCATGTCTGCCCATTTCACATCTTGAACTTTCTGTCTCATATAAGCTACTTTGATGGTTATGGTTTTGCAAAAGCTGAGAAAGTTAAGAATTTCCTTCTATTCTTTTCAACCTTTCTGGTCCCACACTCTTACCCCACTTGATGTTCATATGATTCTTAATCCTTATATGTAAACAGCCAACTGAATAGGTCTTGGGTCATTGGCAGAATGAAGTTTTCTTTTGTTATGTCTTGATTATTGGCACTGTTTTGTTACTTATCTTTTAGAACACTCATTAAAAATTTTTTTTTTTAAGTTTTAGCAAGGATTTATTTTTAATTTAACCAGATAAAGTAGGGAGAAATGGGGGAAAGAAAGGGAGAAACATTTTCTATTTCCCAGGAAGTGGGAGTAAAAACTCCTAAAAAATTTAAATTAAGACTTTCTTTCCCTCCCTCGCTCCCTCCCTCTTTCCTTTCCCTCTTCCTCTCCCCTCCCCTCCTTTCTCTCTTTCTTTCTTTTTCTTTCCCCTCCTCCCCCTCCCTCTCTCAAATATAATTAGACAAAATATAATTAGATTGTCAAGATTTAAGTCAAGAATTTCTAATTCATTTTTTTCTTATTTGACACTTTGAACAAGATATGTTCTTCATGATCTTTTAAAAATGTATGCTACTTTAAGTGTTAAATTAGTGTATCTTAAAAAAAGGAGGTATATATTTTATTGATGCACTAAACCGAGAGAGCACTTCACCCCACATTGTGGAAGTATGTAGCTTTTCTATTAAAATAGAACAACTGAGTGAAGTAGGAAAGCTGACTGGTTTTATTCTCAGTTTTAGAGTATTAAATCCTTTATTACATTTCTACTTTATTAGTCTTCAAAATAATATCTGACCAAAGCTCAAACTGTCTTTTCTTTTGATTGTGTGCCATGAGATTCAATTGTACTTCACTAGCTTAACTGTTCACTCACTGGTTAAGAAACCTACTTATTGTTTGCTTGCTTGTTTGTAATTCATTCTCTTCTATTTGCTTTTCTAGGCTCTTCCAAGCATGTCCTTTGTTTTCCCTTCACATCATTTCTGTAATACTAGTTTTGCTTTGTTGCCTTTTTTTTTTTTTTTCAAGCAAAGTTTTGTTTTAGAGGCGTTTTTCACCCTGGTTGTTTGTGGAGTGGCTGGGGAAAGGAGATAATTGTGAATAAAGCCCAGAAAGTTTCAACTACATAAGTTTTACTACAGACTTCCTAAATTTGAAATAACCATAGGTTTGTAGTAAATTTGTCTAGCAAGTTCTAAGTTCTACTTTGTCAGTTTTTTTTTTTTTCTTACATACAGGGTCTTATTTCCATACTTCCTTCTGAATAAGACCAGCATCATTAGACTAATTCTTCTGGTTGCCTAAGATATCCCAAATACTTTCATATTTTAGAATTAAAAATGGCACTTGAAAAAATTTAAAGCATTATATGACTAAAAAAAAATAGTCTTTCTAGGAGCTGACAAAGAAAATCTAAATAAAAGATAATTGACCAAGCATTTCTATTCACTACAGTAGATGAAATTCTGACTCTGATTTTATCTTCAACAGACAAACAACAGAAAGGTGGATTTGCAATAGATGGCTACGATGTCAGAATGAATAACACCCTTAGGAAGGATGCAAAGAAAGATTGCTGTTTTGAAATCTGTGCTCCTGATAAACGTGTCTATCAGGTTGGAGTTTTTATGCTACCTTGAAATTAAGTTGATAAGATGTTCTGATTTTGTTTATAGAGATATTAACATTTTGTTTAAACAGCTTTCCCTGACATGTTAATAATAATAAAAATACTGGTTTTTGTACATTGAACATTCATATAAAGAGGAAATACATTTTTAAAAATTTCAGATTAGTTCAAGCAATATGTTCTTGAAAAAGATAAGTAACTGTAATATATCAATTACTTCATATGTAGCTTTTTATATCTATTTTAATAGAACTGTGTGATTTCCTAAAAGAATTACATAGCAGAAAGAGTAAAATTATCAAAGGAAAAATATTAGAGTGTTAATGCATATTGTATTGCTTAAGGGGTGCGGGAGAAAATGAAGATAAAGACGTGTATCAGCTCTGCAATTCAAGAGCTATCAGCTAGGCATCAATATGGAATGTATGTTTAATAAGTTTTAAATATCTGAGATTGCAGTTGAAAGCCAGTTAATTAAGTTGTCAGGTAGTGTGTTGGAATCTGACAAGAACATTTTTAAGAAAACTGTACCCAGCAGTCTAAAGAAATTCATGGATGTCTTCTAATTGTCAAGGGCAAATTTTGTTCATCAGTTCTGTCTTTGACATTGATGAAGAGAAGCAGCTTTTTTTCCTGCACAGCTGCCAGCTGCTGATCAGAGTTTCAAATCCATCATCCTCTGCTTCAATTACGTAAATTTGTCAAAATTAACTGTACATTATAAGAAGCATCCTTGCAAGAAAAGTACCACTAGACATGAAAAGAATTACTAATGGTCTTAAAGAAATGATAAGAATGCAACATACCTTTTTCATTTCTACTGTGGTGATTTTGGTTCTTATTGTTTCTTTATTGTTATTGTTTATTAGTTTACAGCAGCTTCTCCCAAAGATGCGGAGGAATGGGTACAGCAGCTGAAATTTGTATTGCAAGGTAAGAGCATCAATTACCACAGTTTTTAAATACTAAATAACTGAGCAATTTTGGTTTTTGTATACAAAGGGAACATGGCTGGTATTAATACAGATCATTCAGATTTATAAAAGCTTCTTTCTCGTGAGTACTAGTCGGCAACTTTAAAATTCACATATTTATAAAACAATTTTTAAAATGTTCTAAATTAAGAGTTTAGTGCATAACAATGTTATTGTTACTTTGTAAGACTGTATTTGTTTAGGAAATGTAGTTTAAAAAGTGTCTTTTCATTCTTTTAAAATTTACTTCATAAAATGTGTTTTGTAGATATGGGATCTGATATTATTCCTGAGGATGACGATGAAAGAGGAGGATTATATGATGACGTTGATCATCCTCTACCAGTCATCAATCTACCAGCAAGTAGTCAGCCAATAGATGATGAGATTTATGAGGAACTTCCAGGTATTTATTTAAAGATATTAGGGCTCTTTTTGTGCATGTGTGTGTGTGTACCTGTGGGACTTGTTATCAAGTTGACAACCTGAGAGAAAATGGTAAGCTATTTAGAACAAGAACAAAGAACATCTTCAAATCTCTCTTAAAAAAGAGTTCTGCTTCAGGTAATTCAAGTGAGTGGATATACATACACATTATGAAAAGTGAATGGAACATTAAAATGAAGCAGATACAGTCCTAATCTCTTGGGACTTTTGGCTCATTAGCATTGTTTATGCTACATAATTTTTTAATTAAAAAATTGACTTGCCTTACAGTTTTTTCCACCAACTCACACATCATTTTTTATTTATATATCTTGGAAGTTCTATTAACCAGAAGCTCCACGCATACCCCATATGTCATCTACTTCTGCCTCAAACATCCCTCCTTGATGTAGGGTTTCCACCGTCTTGGAGGAATGTTGTTGAACAAAGGCCTTTTGAGGGTTGAAGTTTTTTTTAATGATATTTCAGCATCAATTTGAAATAAAAAGGCTTCTTTATTGTAAATTTTGAGGCCCTTTTAGTGTTTATTTGCCTCACTATATCTATTAACTATCTATTGGTTACTTGACTTGTAGTTTTGAGAATCGACCTGAAACAGGAAGATAGACATATGAAATTTAGGATTGTTAGGAAATAACAACATTCATGGAATTGCATTATTGACAGTCCAAGTTGAAATGAGCCTTCTCATGAATATTGAAAAAATTAACAGAGAAGAAAAAGGATTATAAACAATATAAGTGAGATTTAACCAACATATCATGTAGAGAGGCTACTTTTCTCTGACTACAGCAATTTAATAATGTAATATAAACCCTTAAAATTTATTTCAGCAATACTTAAGATGTTCTAAATTGAAGTACAAAATGTCATTTTTAACATAGTAAAACATAATAACTACACTTATGTGTAGTTATATAATAATAATAATAGTCCATAATAACTGGACTTTCAAGTAAAAAAATCTAAATTCCGGGCTGTATTTTTTATTAGTGCTATAACCTTATAAACTAATTTCTTTGTCTATAAAATGGTGATAATGTCATTGGGAGGGGCAAATGAGGTAATGCTTGAATCATCCAAGCCCACAATAAATTGTAATATCATTATTATTTTCATTATCACAGCTGGTGAATTCTTTCAAATGCTTGTATGATGGTACAATAATGTTTTTTTTCTGACCAAGTGATAACTAATAATTATAACTATATAAATTCAAGATATAAAAACTACCTTTGTATCTATGAATTATCTCTTACTACCCTAGAAAGATAATGAATACCAAATATGTGTGTGTGTGTGTGTGTGTGTGTGTGTGTATGTGTAATAGCAATCTGTATATTTCTGTTATTTAGTGAGCTGTGTGTTTATAGGAGCTAATTTTCTGGTTTATCCTAAAAGCTCTGCCACAGTATCAGTTACTCTCACATAGAGAAGAATATTATTTGGCTGCTTTTTAGTCACACCATATCATTAATGCAGCTATTCTAGTTTTTAAAATATTTGGCAGAACTCGTAAGAACATACACTGATGTAAAATGGAAGAGTATGTACCTTTAAACATGATATTATTGTCATATCTGTTTAGGACCCTACAGTGAATATATTATGTTACAATTGTAGAATTCACTGTTAAGGTCTGTGTTTCTTCAACCTGACTATTCTCTCCCCCAACCCAAAGAAAAAGTTGAGTAAGGATAAAGATCAAATATTTATAGTTACTTCCATAACAAAGTCCAAGGAAGATCTCTTATAAGTAGCTTGAAATCTTAAAAATATGAAACATCTTTTATTTTCTCTCACTACAGATATTGTTCTTCATTCTTTTTTTTTTGGCTTGAGGCCACATAATTGTTGGAAATAACTGGTAACTCTTTAAGTAGTGTTACTTCTTGCTGTGGTATTGGGAGAAATTTAAGCTGCTCTGGGATTTCTCTGCCTCTGTTTGGGATCCCCAGTTGCTGTATGAAGTGATTGAGCTTGATAGAGCCTGCAACTGTGCCCCTGGGAAGGGAGCTGTTGTAGGCAGCTGTGGAATGTCTACTGCTTCTTTCTTCCCCAGTGTAACTGAGAGCTGCTTCAACATCTGCATAGTTCGGCAAGTTTGTCAAGTTTGAGCCCGCAGCTACTGAGGGGATTTTTCTTAGTGAAGGCCCTAAAGTTATCTCAGAATTAGAAGTTTTGTTTATTTAAATACCTAAAGCTAGGGAGGTAACTTTTTAATTTAAATAACGATAAGAATGAAGCTTATTTCTTTCATTTTTGTGAAGTTGGAATGTAATTTTGAGATGGAGGGGATGAGAACAGTGGAAAAGCTGGAGCACATTTACAAACTGTTGGTATTTTTCCAGTTCTGTACAAAGAACTATGTATCTCTGAAATCTGACTGGTTAAGTTCCCAGTATTAAATAATGGTACCATTTCAACACCATTTTCTGTCAGTTTTATATTATTGAAAATTAATCTGCTTAGTTGAAAGATGAGGCATACAGATGTATTTGAAGACAAATCTAAGTATTCAACATGCTGCTTTAAATGACAAAGCTTTTTTTCTGAGAAAGTCAAACTCTTTCTCATTTTAAAGAACCTTACGTGTTTAAGTCTCAAGAGTAAGAAGAAGAAAACATTTTTTAAAAAAGTGTATTGAAAAATATCCCTTGAAAAATGTTTATAATTCTATGGGAATATAGCTTCATTGTAATTGTTTCTTCAGTTACAATATTCTAACTTTATTACAGTACCTTCTCTTTAATTTCTTGCTCATTAATTTTTAACTAACTTCATAAGAGAACAAATTTCTATATTTCATTGTGTTTAGGAGATTTATACATATGGGCAGAAGAATTGAGGGAATGATATTCTGAGGTATGATAGGTATTTGGCTTTTCTTCAAATACCCTAATGCTTTGACATCTTTTATGTTTTACTACTTATTAGCAGAGACCAGTTAGGTTTGCATATATTGTGATATACCATGGCATATTTTTGTTTGCACAGTTAATATTTTGGTAGAAGTGTGCTAAACTGTTTTGTAACAGTAATGAGTCCATTTGGCTTAGCACAGATTTCAGAATTTATTGCTCATTTTTTTCATTACAAGTCGGAGGAGAATTTTCATCTAATTTTGAATCCTGAAGGTGAGAAACAATACTTGGGGAATGGCTGCAGAAATCAACCTCATTTACACTTCTCTTCTAGTTACTGTGTCACTTGGTTTTTTCCCCTTTTAATGGCAGCAATTTTGCAGAAACAATAACAACAAAAAGATTTTTCTAGATACAGACTGAGTAAAATCAGCTGGGTAACAAGAGTGGTAACTGCCCATTAGTCTATTAAATCTGCTGCTTTCGGGGGAATTGCACTTGAAATGTCTTCTGGCAGTGGACTGGAGGAGAGAGGGCAATGTAAAGCAGGAAGACAAATTTCTATTCCATTAACCTATTTTTGTGTGTGTGTGAATTCATTTTTTATTGCAATGACAGATTGAGCTATTCTGAGCCAGGAAAGGATGTTTTTATCCTTTGGTCATTCAATTACACCTTAAATTTATTCAGTCCAACTATCTGCATCAAAAATGGAATATAAAGTAAAATGCAGCTATAAATTTTTTCAATGAAACTATTATGTATACATAAAAAAGAACAGTGTTTGGATACTTAAATTTGAAGTAGTTTCCAGTAAGTGGACACAAATAAAAATTTAATCAATAAGTAGTTACAATCCCCCAAAATATATTTTAGCTTTGTTTTCTTTCTGCATAGTTATTATTAATAATACCAAGTTGATATCAAGGTCATGGGGACCCTGTAGTCTCTGTTAACATTGCTATAAGTGATGATATGTACTGACTTCCCCAACCAATTTTTTTATTCTTTCTGTGGAGTGCGATGGAAAGACGTAAGTTAACTTTCACAGCAGTACATATATCCACATTCTAATGTTGTTAGTTCAGGCATCCTGCTAGTATTCTTTTTTCTTCAACTATGGCATTGCATTTTAAAATTATTTAAGTGTGGTGATATGTTGTAATATATAGTTTGATAGATATTTTTCCCTGATTGATAACTAATTAGATAGAGTCAAAATTTTAGATGCCTTCAAGCTCCAAACCCTACTGTGAAGATCTTCTGAAATTATAAAAAAATAAGAAAAGCAATCACAAATTAAGGTCACTGTACACATGTAATGTTTGTTTGCATACACGCATACTCACACACATGCATTCCTACATATAAGCACATAGAAATGTATATATATATGTGTATATATATATATGTGTGTGTGTGTGTGTACATATGTATATACAGCCACTCCAGGGCCTTGTGCATGTTAGCGAGAGATTGACCACTGAGCCCTGTTTGTTTATATTGTTGTTTTTGTTAAATGTAGATGTGCTTTTAGTGTCCTTTATGTAACCTGTTTCATAATATAGTGTAAAGTTTTGGCATGCAGTTCTGCCTGTTGTAGCTTTTTCTACTTTGCTATTGACATTAGAAGCAAATTTTTTTCGTTATAAGAGATGGTTTAATACATATTAAGGCCCAAATACCTGTGCATATGCAAAACATTTATTTTCATTGGTAGAGAAATAAATGACCCATTTTTGCAAACTGAAACTACATCAGTGATTCTCAGTTAGGGGAGATTTTGTTTCCCAGGATACATTTTGCAATGCTTGGAGACACTTTTGGAGACAACTGGGGTGTGTGTGTGTGTGTGTGTGTGTGTGTGTGTGTGTATGCTACAGACATATAATAGATAGAAGTCAAGGGTGGTGCTAAACATCCTACAGTGCATAGGACTGTCCCCATAACAAAGAATTACCTGGCCCAAAATGTCAATAATGCTGAGGTTGTGGAAACCCTGGCCACCAGGGTGTAACAGCTTTTGGGTTATCACCATTAATCTGTATCTCTTGCTTTATAAAGATTCATAACCTAAGCTCCATATAAGAGTTTG